TTTTTTGTTTGCCCTGGACAGCATCTTTAGTTTGCCCTGGACAGCCCTGGACCCAGAATAGGTCTCTTGCATTTCCATCTCAGCTTGTCAGTGTCCACACACAAAAAAGGCAACTGGGATTCTCGTCGGCATCACGTGGACTCTGGGTCTCTCTGGGGCCCTGCCGTATTAAGTCCTGTGACCCGTGAACACATGATATCTTCCCGTTTACGCAGGCCTTCGTTAATCTTTCAACACTGTTTAGTTTAAAGAACGTTTTAGAGAGAACACAGCTGACAATCCACAATCCCTCGGCCCCTGATGGTTTACAATTCAGCAGTGATTTACAAGGCACAAGGGCGCCGGCACCAGGCCAGCATGTCAGAAGACGGGCAGAAGGGTAGAAGCGGTCCCCCGGTTGGCAGCGAGCGGGAGCACGCAGTCCTCCCGGCGTGGCCACGTGGAAACGTGGAGTGCTGGTTGAGCCTCCCTGCTGCCCACACACTTCCATCACAAAGCAAACGCTCCTCCCATCCTCGTGTTCCTGGAGGGGAATCAACACGTCTGTTTGTTTTCCAGCTGAACGTTCCACAAAGAGCCAGGGCATACGTTTTAGGAACGGGACACAGTACGGCACCGCCTGACCTCCTGACGTAGTTAAATCTCACAGCAAACTAAACTGTGGGCAATAATCTGACGGTGTGACCGAGTCTGGTTCTTGGGCTGTGTCGGCCTGGAGGTTTATGTACAAGAAAGGAAAAAGCAGAAGCCATTTTTTGTGGAACATTTGGAGACATGAGAAAACGTCCAACGTTTATAACTGCGTAAGTGAAAAAGCAGGAAACAAAGCTGTACCCGTGGCGTGAGCGCAATGGCAGTGCGTGTGGGGTGGGCGGGGAGAGAATTCTGGGTGGTTTCACTTTTATTTTACTTTTTCATTTTCTGAGTTAAAACAATAGCTTAGTGCACTTCAAACAACAGCTCCGTCGACGTGCAGGTTTAACGCAGTGCAGAGCGCGTTCTGTGACCAGCCCAGAGACGCTTGCACCCCATCCTGCGTGTGGGTCAGTGCCGCACCTGTGCCCTCCGCCCCGAGTAAACCTTCTCTTAGCTCTAGCCGACGTTCACTGTGCACGTGATGCCTTAAAACAATCTGATTGATTCTTTCCAGGCTCTTTTTGTAAATAAACACTACAGTTTAATCTAAGTTACCATGCTGATAATTGGGTTTTCTACAAAGTTCACACAATCTACGAGTGCACACTGGAGGCAGGACAGTCCCTCTCCCCGACTTCAACCCCACCCTCTAGGAGTGACACTAGTGATGGCATGAACAGCCTGACACGTAACCTGCGGGCTCCCCCCCCCCCGCCCCCACGCGCACACCTGGACAGCACGGCACTTGTGCAAGCACGTGGGACCGTGGGATTATGTGGCCTGTGCCATCAAGGATATCCACGCGTGTCCTCGGGCAGACGGGGCTCACTCCCTGTGGGGGCCGCGAAGGGCTCTATCGCGTGGACGCATCATTAACTCACACTCCCCCTAATTAAGAATACAATTTTGGCTTTCAACTTTACGTGTTCAGAAATAACGTAACGGGCAGCTCTGGACACATATCATCACAAACGCACACGTATAGCGGTGGTTTTAGGGTCTATTTCTCAGAGTGGGATCGTCGGTTTCTAGGGTGTAGCCCCTTCCCATTTCGATAAGCTATTGCTGAACTGCTCTAGACCAAGCCCGCATTTCACCACCAACAGTGGCTCAGACTTTCTTCTTCCCCGTGCTCTGGAAAGCCTACTTCCGGGAAAATCACTCTCAACTTTGTGAACCAGAAAGAAAAAACCGTATTACTTTTGTAACTAGAACAGATTTCGATATATCTTTTGTTTTTTTTAAGCACCTGATAGACCGTTTTTAACATTCTTTCTGAAGCAGATGTGAGCTCTGTAAACCAGCACGGGCAAGAGAGGGGGCTGTGAGAGCCCCGGAATACAGTTCTCTTTGGCCACGCAGACCTGTAAAAAGCCAGACTGTAAATCGACAAAAAGCCGGCAAATCTGTCCTCACAGCCACGTTGTGGGGAAGCAGGACCCCCGGGCACGGGCTGCACTGTGGTCGTGCACCGTGATGCTGGGGTCAGTTCACTTATCCGGTGAGTATCTCAGTTTCTTATCCTGACCTTTGAGGAGGGTTAGGGCTCTGACCTTTCTGGGGTATGATCCCAGCTTTGAGCTATTCTTAGTTTATGTGTGAAGCAGGCGAATAAAAAAAGTTCCTAACACGTTTTATTGCACACGCGTCATTAGATGACGAATTAAATGAATAAAAGAACACCTTCGTGAATAGAAGCTGGAGAAAGTAGGAAAGCAATTGTTAAAAAATTACAGCGAGATAAAACACATTCTCTTCTAAAGTCTAGAAAGGGTCTCTAATTAACGTAAGAGAAAAATCAGTCACATCCTCCCTCTCCCTGACGTCTCAGCCGCCATCAGGAGCCACGGGCAAAACCCATCACTGCAGGGACGTGACGCCCGGAGCCCGTCATTCAGGCTACAGCCTGTGGGAGCTTGTCAGAGGGAGACGGCGCTTGCTTATTCAACGGTTTCCTGGCTGCCCCCCGTGGGCTCAGCGCGGAGAGCAAGAGTGGCACCTCGGAGGACCCTCCTTCCCCAGCCCACTGCAGCGTCGGTGCTCTGGGTGCGGACGCATCAGGCCGGGCCGCTGGGCCCGCAGCCTCTGCCTCCCCGCTGCTGGCAGCACGCCACACCCTTCCGGGTGCACAGAGAGAAGGACACGAGGGCGGGGGGTCTGCTGCCACTGCACGGGAAAAGGGGAGGGTGCTGGCTTTGGGGGTGCACGTGGTCACACAGGATAAAACCCCAGGCCCGGGCTCAGGAAGCTGCCTAAGTACCCGTGCCAAGGACAGGAAACCGGACCCTGGGAGGACCGAGCTTGTCTAAGAGAAAGGAGCCTGGGGCGCCTGTGCCCCCTTTCCCTGCCGGCAACGTGGACGGCCGAACAGGCAGTTCTCAGACATTAAGAAAAAGCCACTCGCTGGGGCATCTGGGTGGCTCAGTCGGTTAAGCGGCTGACTCTTCATCTCAGCTTAGGTCACAAGCTCATAGTTTGTGGGTTCAAGCCCCACATCGGGCTTTGTGTTGACAGCGGAGGCTGCTTAGGATTCTCTCTTTCCCTCTCTCTCTGCTCCTCCCCTGTGCGCGCACACACGCACTCTCTCAGAATAAACTTTAAAAAAAAAAGAAAAGAAAAGCCGTTCATCACCACACCAAGCAACTGCCATTTCAGCAAGAGGCAGCCCGCCCAGGGCTCCAACCTGCTCGACGCGCTCGCCTGGAGCGGGAGACTTTCCAGGAGACTGGACTTCTGCTGATACTGAGCAAAGCCCCGTGTCACCTCTAAGCTATCAAAGGATAGTTCGCCACCCACAGCAGCGGCCCCCGTGTCCTGGGGCAAATTCCAGCGCTGGCTCGCTGGCTCCTTTCTCCACGACGGGCCCAGCGGGGGGAAGGCGCTCGCGGGCTGGCCGAGGGCCGCGCACCGGAGCCCCGAGGGTGAGCACGGGCCTCAGCCGCCCCTTGCGTTTGCTGCTTTCATACTTCTTTCCTGACTGTAAAGACGCTTGTGCTTAGTGTGGAAAGAGCAGGGGACAGACAGAAATGGATAAAACAAACTGGGGCCTCACCGCCACGTTGCCCGAGACCCGCTGTCGGGCCGGCTGTTTCAGGTTGTTTTCTGTGCACAGATGTCCGTGTGGTGTTGCCAATGAGGACCACCGTGTAGCCCGTTTATGTCCTTTTTAAAAGTTTTAGCATGAGCACTTAAGATATTAATTTTAAAGCTCAATTTCTTAATAACGATAAACGTTGTATCAAGTATTCCATAATTGCTAAGCCCTTAAGCCTATGTTGGGCGTTCGGCTGGATCCCAGGTTTTGCTACCGTAAATACAGGATCATCCGTGACTCCGATTATTTCCCTGAGTTGATATCGTAGTAAACGAATTAATTACCAGGTCGAAGGGAATGGCTGCTCAAGGCTTCTGATGCTTACTGCCATACTGCTTTCTGGGAGTCGGGTTCAGTTGAAAAACGAAGAGAGATATCTCTTTTCAGCAAAGGGGCTCAATAAACTACAACTTTGTCATCTGCCTCAGGTACGGACAATGACTCCTTTGTCCTTTGCTGACAAAAGTCAGTATCATCATGGGGAAAAGGGAAAGCAGGAAAAGTTGTGATACAGGGTCCAACCGCTCATGGAAATTACCTCGATGTGGAGCCTGACGTACAATTAAGAATAAGCTGCGATTTTCAATGGTCTGTATGAGGGAAGAAGGTTTCCTGAGAATGTGCTTCACGGGAAAGTCTACGCACAAGGCCCTGTGGCGTTCCCGGGGAAAGAGGCCCGGGAGAAAGTGTCGCCTGTCCCATGCTCTCCCCTGGACGTGTGGCTCGAATCTGCAGTGACCGGACGCATCTCCCGCAACCAGCCAGAACGCACGAGAATTAGCCCAGTGGGCAGGTCTCCAAAAGAGCCTGCTTCTCGGTGCGGCCACCCAGAGCCCAGGCCTCAGACAGTCCTCTGGAGGACGGCCTCAGAAGGCCACTGAGTGGGACAAAGCAGTGCAGACGGCCTGGTAGCTCGGAGGGGAGGCGGGTCTGGCTTCTTTTGACAAGACGGGAAGGTGAGTGACGTCTGTTCCTTTCACTGCTTCAACCGTTCACACCAGCTACTGTGACGGCAGTATGGGGTCGCCCTTGAGCAGCCGCAAACGTGATGGGACAGGAGCCCCAAAGGGTCAGTGGCTGGGCCGGCAGGAGCCCCGGTGGGTGACCAGTTGGGGTCCGCCGTCGGCTCGGAGCAGAGGGCTCAGACGGCCCAGGCCAGGGGCCGGGGTTCTCGGGGAAGGAAGAAGGGGCAGGAGGAAGCCGAGGGCAGGGCTCTGCTCGAGGACACCGACGGGAGGCCCACTTTGCACCCGGGGGATGTGCACACTACCTTCATGACGGGCTGGGCAAAGTACCGGGCACTCCAGTCGCAGAAGCCCGTCTGCGTCGTGGCTGAGACGAAGCTTCTGTGTCCAGCAGCGTCATCTGCATCGTCTGTGGTCTTCAGGGCGTTTGGGGACAAAGGGGGGGAGGAAAGAGAAGGAACAGTTAGTCGCGTACCCGGCACGTCTCTTTGCGGGCTTGACAGGGTTCAAAAGGAGACAGAAGGCAGCGGTCTGGCTGCTGAGAACGTTCTTCTGCTGGCCTCACCCTGCGTCCCGGTGGTAGGGACCCTGAATGTGGGGCCAGGGCCCAGGGAACCCGTATTAGGGAGGCGACTGAATCCGCACTCAGGGGACTGTGTCTCCCCCGAGGCCGGCCACGGTGGCTCGGGCCGCAGAGTCTGTCGCTCTCGCACAGGCCAGCGCTGTGAGGTCAGCAATCCCCCAGGGCCTCTGCGGCAGGGGCTGCCGGCGACCTGGCACCCGACTGTGCCAAGCGGCTGTGGGTGGGGCGCGAGACCAGTTGGGACATGTGGGTATTGAGACATAAACCACTTGAAGCTGTCCCCCTGGACCACACGTTCATTTCCCATGGCAAGGCCTATGGCGGCCGACGTGGTCAGAGTAGGGCTCGCGTCACCGCACAAGGCTGGGCACGGGGGAGCAGGACTGAAGGCATCCCCCAGAGAGGAGTCCCTCTCGAGGCTCGCCGGGTGGAAAGTCCCACAGCTAGGGCACAGTGATAGGGTCTCCTCTCCTGCCTGCTGTAGGAACCTGTGCCACTGTGCTGGATCGGGGCCCTGGCTTGCGGCCCCGAAGACAGTGAGTGTCCCCTGCGCCCAGATGCTGCTGTCTGGCCGGCCCACGTCAGGGTCCAGCCAGGAGGATGAACCTCGCCCTGGGTGTTCGAGGGGAAAGACAACACACGTCACCCAGCAGGCAGCTGTGAACTTCTTAAGACCACTGCTTACAGAGCTGGGTCACGTGGCTGACGTGGCATCCATGGCAGCCCGCCCCCTTAGTGCATCCTGAACGGCCCCTCCAGACTGCGTCCTTGACCGACAGAGCGGCAAACAGTCTGGGCAAGACAGCCAAGGCCCCAGCTTATGTGTTCACATCACATCGGCCAGGCCGACGAAGACGCCAATCCCTCCTGCGCCTGAAATTTCTTTTTCAGCTTAAAGGCAGAGACCGTGGCTCCTTATGTGGCAAATGAAACGTTCGTGGAAAATGCAAACAATCCACTGAGAACAGGTGCTTGTACGTGGCAGCTGCCACAGCCAGCGGAGGAAAATGCTACTCACCCAAGAAGGGAGAAAGCAAGTTAGCTCCGGGCGCTTATGTGGCCACATGGGAGGTGCCAGGACAGTGAGGCCACGTGGAAGGTGGCAGGACAGTGAGGCCACGTGGAAGGTGCCAGGACAGTGAGGCCACGTGGAAGGTGGCAGCACAGTGAGGCCAGGACAGTGAGGCCACGTGGAAGGTGCCAGCACAGTGAGGCCACGTGGAAGGTGCCAGAACAGAGAGGCCACGTGGAAGGTGCCAGGACAGTGAGCCATGGCAAGGGGCCACAGGAGCCAGGGCCCTGTGACACTGCAAGGTGGTGCCGGTACAAACCGTGCAGCACAGAGGGGGGCAGAGGGCAGGGTGGGGCCCGCGTCCCGGGCTGCAGGGTCTCCGCTCACACCGAGGGCGCACAGTCGAGCGTACCTGGTCTGGGCCCTTGTCGAACATCTTCCGCGTGCGGGGGAACTGCTGGGAGTGGGGCGTGTACTGCACCCCCGCGGGGCCAGGGGCGCCGGGGCGGCCCGCGGGCAGGTCTCGGCCGACTGGCTGCTTGGCCACGTCGTTGGTCAGGCTGGAGCTGCTGGCGCTGGACGTCGGGGGGGAGCCCCTGCCGTTGGGGGAGGAAGGAACGTTGCATTTTACCCAAAGACAAAGCCCCTCGTCCTCACCCGCCCGCCCGGGCACTGCCAACCGACCCGGGTCAGGAGCCCACACATCGCCACCCGCCCGGCACACGCACGTGCCTCCAGAACCAGCCGCCACGGCTGCAGCGACGGCCCTTGGGGCCCCGCCCGCAGGCTCTGGGAGCGGTGCCCCCGGAAAGCGAGGGCGGCCCCGGCGGGCACGTCCGCTCGCCGCCTCCCGCCTGCGGATGCTGACGTAAGAGGGGCTCTCCCTGCCCGCAGCTGGCCAGCAGGAGCCAGACCCCGGCTGGTCAAACTCGGAGAGGCTGCACAAGTCAGGCTCCCGGGCGGTTCCTGCTGTGGCACCTCGTGCAGAGGAAGGCGGTGCAGAAGGGACCCGCATGACAGACACGGGCCACTTACCCCGCCTGGTGGATGTGGATGCCCTTGTTGGTGGGGCTGGCGGGCGCCGACTGGGTGAGTGAGGACGTGGTGAGGATACGCTGGGGCCGGGCGTTCACCGTGGCCTGAAAGAGCAAAGGGGCAGGTGGTGTGGACGGCCAGCTGCTGGCGACCTCTGCGGCCGTGACACAGCAGCCCAGGGCGGTGGCTGCTTTCGATGGCTTCAAGATCGCGCAAAGGGCCTTTTGGCCCAGGAAATCAAGCACGCGTGTGGGACGGCCCCGGTGGAGCCCCTCCCCAGTGTCCCCCTGCAGATAAAACCACGTTTGTTTGTTGGGGCACCTGGGTGGCTCCGTCGGTTGAGCGTCCGACTTGGGCTCGGGTCATGATCTCGCAGTTCGTGGGTTCGAGCCCCGCGTCGGGCTCCGTGCTGACGGCTCAGCGCTTAGAGCCCGCTTCGGATTCTGTGTCTCCCTCTCTCTGACCCTCCCCCGTTCGTGCTCTGTCTTTGTCTCAAAAATAAATAAACGTTAAAAACAAAAAACAAACAAAAAACCACGTTCGTTTGCTTTCCGGGAAGTCATCTGCTGGGGTCCGGCGGGGCCCCAGGGTCGGCCCTGCCTGACGCAAAGCCGCGAGACTATGCCAGCGTTAACGCTAGACTCCCGGCCCCCCCCGCCCCCCGCCCGCCCGGGCCTCTGCTCAGTGGCACTTTGTGGATGGAAACAAGGCAGGCTGCTGTCAACGTCCTTCCACAGACATGCGCACATCTGCCGTTTCACCACAGACAATTCATGCCCGACTGAGACGACTGTTGAGGAGGGAAATAGTTTCGATATTTTGAAGTGGGGCTTTGTGTCGATGGGGAAACCGGATGGCTGCTGGGGGTGCACGTGACGGGGAGGCAGGAGGCAGACGGGGCTGTCCCCGCCCATCGGACGCAAGCCCACTGTCCGCCAAGTGCTTCCTGGGATGTTCTGCTCTGGGGGCACGGGGCGGCTGGGCAGGCCCTGCCAGCTCTGGACACCCCCAGGAGAGGGCTCCAGGGCAGACGCTGCTGCCCCAGCGGCACTCGGGACAGGAGGCAGTCAAAGCAGCCGTCTGGGCTCCCCTGAGCGCGGCTGGTGCCAGACTGGGTCTCGAAGTTGGCCGCCACTCAGGGAAACAGAACCTCGAACTCCGTGGGGGACGTTCTGGGGCAGCCGGGCTCAGGGGACCCTCAGGTGTTCTGACCCCTCCCTCAGCAGTCAGGACGCTGTACTTCCTACGTGCAGCCAACAGGCAGAGAATTGCAGAAAACTAAACCACCAAAAAACTGTTCGTTTACAGAATATCGATGCTTCCCTGATAATTTACCACTCTGAAACAAGAATAACAAGAAAACTGAACTGTAATCAAGCTTTACAAAACATTAAGAAAAACATTTCTTTAATTACGTAAAGTATATTGTTTGTGAACTTGCTTTTGCTTCCTATTTAAATGACCTGGCCAGCTCCCTGTGCCTCCATCAAAACCCGAGGGCCAAGCGCCTCCCAAGCGCCCCCCGGTGTGGTCTGGGGAGAGTACAGGATCGGAGCTGAGAAGCTACAAACTTCCATGAGTCTCCTCAAAACGTCCAGAGATGGGGGAGGCGACAGGAAAGACAACACTTTTGTGGCTGAAACTCAGACTTCGGCAGAACCCACCCCTTTCCCACATGTCCCCTGAGACCCTCCCACCCTGCCTCTCCTGTGCTCGCTGCCCACCGCCCCTCAGGGAGGCTCCGCCGACCGGGCTCTGTTCCCTCTGCTGGGCCCGGGCGGCCAGGGTGAGGTATCTGCAGCCCCTCGCCCACACCCTTCACACCCGCGGCCGCCACACGGCTCTCTTTCCAAGTCCGTTTTAGAAATCCTGAGGAGTGGGCACGCCGGCAGCTTTCACACTGGCGATCACAAGGCTTCAGGCTTCGAGGAAGCTTTCTCGAGCCCAACGGCTCCCATCTGTTCGACAAGCGTTGCCTCGGCCTTGGTCTCACACTTGGTGCGAGCCTGCAGGGGTGAGTGTGAGCAGAGGCGGGCGAGTGGACCCCGCCTGTCTGCAGACTTGGGGTGGGGATACGGGGCAGGGGGCGGGGCAGGGTGGCGAGCCCGGGGCCAGAGAGGCTCCTTCCCTCGCTGATCCCGGCAGCCGTTTCACAGACAGCACACAGCCAGAGAAGGTCAGCAGAGAGGCAGCAGTGTTTTCGAGGCTCTGAACTGAGGACTGGGCCCAGCTGTGAGCCCCCTGCCCACCCCGTGCCTGTGCCCGTCCTCGCCGCCAGGAATCTATGTTGCTCTCTGCTGGGGGACGAGGCCCTGAAGCCACTCCCTGGACAGGTGGCGGGGCCCAGACGAGCAAGGGCAGCAGGGAAGGGGGATGGTCACGGCTGCGGGTGAAGCTCTGGGAGCCCGGCCTACTTTACTTTGTTATAAGCCGAATTCTCCCCTCAGGCGTATTCTCTTGGCCCGATGCAAACACAGACGTGGTTCGCGGGGACACATTTGCTCCCTGCCCTGTGCAGCTAACAGGGGCGTCTGGAGCAGAAGCCCGGACGGCAGTGACCCGGCCCCCCCCCCCCCCCCCCTTTCCAGCTCGTGGGAAGTTCTCTTTACTCTCTGGTTCTTTGCCTGGAACACGTCACTTTGCGAGGGCGCGGGAAGTCGGATCCAGCGTGGAGAAAAGTACCCTAGAGCAGCACGGGGGACGCGGACGGTGGATTTCCCGACGGGATCAGAGTCAGGGTCTGGGACTCCAGCCCAGGCGTCTGCTGCTCTTTCCCGGGCGAGTGCACGACTGCAGGATTGTACTGTTAACCGCATGTCGAGAATCTGGATCCCCAGGACTGTCCCGAGGTGACTGTCCTGGGGCTAAGTATGATGCAGAGCCTGCTGGCTGCTGGGCCACTGAGAAGACACCTGTCAAGGCGCAGGATTCTGTTGATCTAAGAGAAAAGTTTTCTGGAAACTGCACGTCCTAGACAGACAACACGAATTGCCCTTCTGGAGCGCTGAGTCCTGGGTACTGCTCATTTGCCACAGCAACAGGGACAGTGAGGCACTGCCCCGTGGCTGCCGATGGCCGTCGGGGAAGCCGCGCTCCTTGGCCCCCCAGGAAGTGAAGCCAGCACGGCCGAGGCCGGGGGGGGGGGGGTCTCACCTGCCCCCTTTCCAGGGTCTGTGCATTTTGGAGCAGTGGCAACAGAGAGTAGTGAGGACAGGGAGGAAGGAAGGAGACGTAAATATTTCCACTTTGCTTCTCAGGGTTACTGTGTTTACTCGCCACAGCAGGGCCCACAGGGAGCCCAACTCTGCAGACCAACTAGGACACAGGTAGTGGGCTGAAGGCTGGTGGCGTTTGACCAGGGCCCACGGGCCCGGAGAGCCACCCTCTACCTTCTGGCAGGGTGTTCACGAGGGCCCAGAGCACAGGCCCAGCGGCCACCCCAGAGCCACGGAGTCTGATCTCCAAGGGGACCAGCTCTCCTGGGGCCGTTTCTGCATCTGGCCCAGCAGGGCCTGTGACTCTCAGGAGGGGGCGGCGTCTACTTCTGTAAGCTACGCAACTCTGGGTGATGACGCCGTCACCTCTGGGTCTGCGGGGAGGTGAGAACGGACAGGCGCGTGACAAGTTGCGAACTATACACGGAGATGCCTCTCGGTCGTTAACAGTTCGCTAGGACTGCCCCGATACGACAATTCTGGGAGGCCCTCCTGCTGGAGGCGGCGGCAGGCAGTGAGGCAGGGGAGGCCCCGGAGGGGGGCACACAGCACTGGCACACAGGCTCCTGTGTGTGGTGGTGGTGGATGGGGGGCGGGCAGTGGAGGGTCCTCCCGGGAGGACCCCGCCTCTGGGAGAAGGAGGCCCTTTCGACCCGAGTGAGAAGAAATGAAAATGCTTCCGTGGGCATCCACAGAGCCCACAGAGAGGTGGACGCAAAGGTGCTGCGCTGTGGGCTCACTGCACCCTTGCTGGGTGAACGCGGGTTTGGGGCGAGCGCGGCAGCTCCCTGGGCTCTAAGTGAGGTGCTAACTGGGAGGAGAGGGTCCCTGAATGGGGATAGGGCTTTAAAAGAAACCGACGTTATCAGCGCGGAGCCAGGATTTAATCAGTGTCCGTGGAACTTTTTTGAATTTGGTTTTTGGGGATCTCAACCTTCACTTTGTTTCTTGGTCACTTAGGCCTTTGGTTTATAAGGAAAGTGTTTGGCCTCGAACCTCACACGCTGGCTTGTGATCTCCATCGCACCTGGCTGCACGCGGCCCCCCGCAGACGTGGTGGCGGCCGACACTTGGGCTCCTTGGGTGTCGGGACGCTGGGGGACTATCTCTAGGTGAGTTTACGTGAGTACAGGTGTTCTCATAAATATTAAAAGTAGTGATAATCAGTGCGCGCGACCCTGACATCTGAACACCTGTCGCGTGAAATTTCCTTCTAAGTGTTGTCCCCAAAGCACAGATGGCAGGAGTGGCCGCCAGGGAGGCTGTCGGGGCCATCGTGGTTCCTGAGGTCGTCATGCTGTTCTTTGTATCTCTCTCCGTGGTTTGAAATTTTCCATAATAAAAACTAAAAGCAAAACGCAAACCCCAAGCCTGTGTGGACAGGGGATATAAATACTTGAAATTAGGCCACAGTTCTCGAGCTATGTGAGTTCCCGAGCTGCCAGCAATTTCTATATTTGAATACGGAATTCTACGGGGTATTCCGGAGTAATAAGGCTGTTTTGACTCTGATGAATAAAAATTTGGTGTCACAGTTAAATATCAAAAATAGGTCCATTTCTCTGTGAACTGAAATGTAACCCCCTCGTTAGTTGCTAGAGTAGAAAGTAAGCCATTTTTAAAATTAAATTGAGGGCAAGAAAATATTTCCTTAATGTTTATGCTTCCAAAGCCTTCAGTGGCAAATGCTTACTCTTGAAAACACACACACACAGACACACACCTGTATACATTTACACACAGACACACACATACAAGACACACACAGACACACTCTCACTCACACAGGCTGTGTTGCACCAGTACAAGGCTTCAGGAAGTATGGACTCTAGAGGAACCCACTCCAATCTCTGCCCTCTGGGTGCGCCCACCGTGTGCACACTGGGATGTGTGTGTGTCTGTCGAGATCAGCACGACAGGCAGAAAGCCACAAGCCACTTCTAAGGCTGTGTCAGGGAGCGCTGTTCTAAAGCCTCGAGAGGCTGTCTCGGTTGTTGTAACCTGCTGGTGTGGCTTTGCTGGGTAGGAGCGATCGCACACACGATGTTTAATTACCTCAAGTGGGCTGAAGAGGCACTTCGAGCTCGCAGCCACGCACCTTACACGTAACCCGAAAGGACACGGAGACACGGATTCCGTGCTTTACGCACGCGTAAGACGTTCCTCTGAGGAACGTATCTGACCATCTGAGCTCAGGTCTACTGTGATGGGTTTATAGTTGTGAAATTTCAAGATTAGGCATTGACGTATTTTTAAACAGTTCAGGTTGATTTTCGATAAGGTTAAATACATAAGAGCCACTACAAAATAAACTTATATAGAATACCGGTTTCATCATGACCAAAATAACCAAGGGGGCGGGGAGTGACTGGAGCACCTGACGACCGTGCTGGCCCTGGCTGTGCTGGCCATGGCCCGGAGACCGGCCTACACCTCAGAGACAAAACAAGGCCTCGAGACACCTCTGTGCGTCACAAGCTTTCAGGCAAAGGTAATGACCTCAGCTTCTGCCGTAAGAAACTGGAATCTGCAGAGCAAGTTAGACTCAGGGTGAGCAGAAGGAAGAGGATAATGAGGATGAAAAGAGCTGTCAATAAAAAGGAAAATGAAAAGCAACAGACAAATAGGGACAAAACCAGAAGCCGGTCCCGTGAGGTTTCCTTCAGCCCGAGCGGTCGTGAGCGTGACCACGGGTACTGGGAATGAAAGGGGACATCACTACAGACCACACAGACGTGGACAGGATCACGAGGGTAACGAACGGGAGCCCGTACCTAACTTCCAGGCGCCCTGACACAGCTGAGTGGAGGCAGGGCAGTGCCCTGACTGAAGCTGCACACAAACAGAGGTCAGGCACACCGTGAGGCGCTTGTCCAAAGTCTCTCTAACCGCCTGGGGTTCCCGGCATGAATATCCGTAATGGGGGACCAGGCACTCGGGAGCTTTGCTGGGAACGCCGTCACACGTACCTTGTAGGCAATGCTGTTGAGCACCTTCATGGCCAAGTCGGAAACGTCTGGATAGGGATCCGCAGCCAGATGCAGTAACACTCTCCAAATCTGAGTGTAAACACTGTTAAAGGAGACTCCTAGGAGAGAGAAAGGGGATGTTTTAGCAACGGATAGCTGTGGCTGGTGTGCTTGGCCGGCTCCTGGAGACCTAGCTGCTGCCAGGAACGGGTGCTTTCCAGAGCTGGGGCTACGGAGCCTCATTTTTGTCATCTGGTTACGGGCCCAGACACTCAGGGGTCCCAGCTCGTAACTAGGCTTGATGGCACGATTTCATCTTCTGAGGCTGGATATTCGTAGCAGGAAAGGTGAGTTAGGAAAGGCTGACCTTCCTTGAAGCCCTGGCTGACTGGACAGCACTATCTAGCTTCCAAGGACCGTTCAATCTCACACCTGGGTTTCTAGGGAGCCATCGCGGTCTACGTGAGCTGCGCGTGTTGGATGGGAGTGCCGTGTTCAGGGAGTGCTCTGGGCTGTGACACACTGACTCTCTTGTCTACACACCACACGTGGCACCGTCCTGAGTTCCCAGGAAATCACAAAGGGTGTGTGTGACGTGACCTGAGCCCTCCAGGTCCTCCCCAGGCAGCCACCACATTTCCTGCGTGTGTTCCACACTTCAGGTCCCGTCTGCATGTCTGGACGCCATGGTGGAGGAGACAGGATGTTGACGCGGACGGGGTGCGTCACAGACACGAAGGAAAGGGAAGTCACGGAGGGCCTGACTCAGGAGTCCGCCCAGTCCTACTTGACCCTCACAGTCTCAGCCACAGGCGCCATCCCTGGGCATTACAGAGGGGCAGTGAGGCTGAACGCCCAGAGGATGAAGGATTCAAATGCACGCCCGTCGGACGTTCGGGCCAATGCCGTGTCCGCCACACTGTGCTGCCGTGGCAGCTCCAGTAACGGGCAGACGATTCCTTCTGTCAGGGGTGGGGCTGGGAGGTGAGCCCGGAAGCCTTCATGGAGGAAGAGGCACGCAGTGGGCTTTGGAGGGGAGGCAGGACTGCTCTCTTGGCAAGAGCCTCGCTGGCGGGAAGTTGGCGGAGCAAACGACGGACTGGCACCGAGGTGATGGGAACACAGGGAGCATTTGCGGAAGTGGCGAGACAGAGACCCGCGTCGCAAACCAGAGAGGACAGTGGGGCGGCTTGGAGACCGAGGGGGCAGGGCGGGTGGGCCGGGTGCAGACCCCTGGGGGGAGTGACCATGGAACCCGGTCAGCACCAGGCAGGGAAGGGGAAAGGCAGCCTTCCGAGAGGAGGCGGTGAGCCAAGGCCGGGAGCGGGGGCGCGGGCGTGGATGCCGCACCCTCGCTAGGTGCTGGGGCGGACCTGGGGGCTGGGCACGGCACCGGCCCTGCTCCCGCGGATACGCCGAGACCCCAGGTCATCTGCCCGGCCAGCTCCGGGTGCAGCCCCTCCCGCACTGGTGAGGGACTTCAAATCTCACGAATGCTGCCAGAGGACGGTTGTTCCTCCATCACGGAATGGGCTGCACCCAGGCATTCAAGTTTTTCTTTTCATGTTTATCTGTTTTTGAGAGCGAGCGAGCGAGCGAGAGAGTGAGCGAGTGCATGAGCAGGGGAGGGGCAGAGAGAGAGAGGGAGATACAGAATCCGAAGCGGCTCCAGGCCCTGAGCTGTCAGCACGGAGCCCGACGCGGGGCTCGAACCCACTGACCGCGAGATTGTGACCCGAGCTGAAATCGAGAGTCAGAGGCTTAGCCCCCCAGGCGCCCCTGCACCCAACCATTCAGATCAAAGGCTGATGGATGATGCGGAGGGTCACACGGCACAACCCACGGCCTGGCATCTGGAGGCAGAGGCGGCTCTTCTTCCCACCCGCAGTCGTGGGGACAGTGACCCCGTGGCCACAGGGACGGAGGAAGCCCCGCCTCCCTGCAGGTCAGGGTGCAGAAGGTGCTGCTGTGTCGCCCAGGAGGGGAGGTGGCGTCCCTCGTGTGCTCGCTTGGAAGGACGTGCGAGCTCTGGGGCCTGCTGTGTGCGGCAGCTCACACAGGCTTTGTGGCCCTGGGGAGTCCGGCAGGGGCCCCCCGTGGGGACTGGGGTTCCGTACAGATCTGGACTTGGGTCGGTGAGATGTCAGCTGAACACACTTTCGCTTGGAGGGGAGCTTGCGTCAGGGCGAGTGATGCACACGGAGATGCGTGCGGTTTCCCTGCGCGTTTAATTCAGAGACGGAAGCAGAGCAAACACCTTCGGCCCTCAGGGTCCACAGCCATGGGACCGCCGTCCAGGTTGACGGCCAGGGTCTCTGGGGACATTTCCTAAAACCTACTTCCTGTGGTGGCAGAGTACCCACCAGCAGGAGCTACGCCCGGTGCTGTGTGTGCACCGTTTCCACAAAGGCGGGGAAGGCGGTGGGAAGCGTGGCTCCATAGATGCCCACGCCAGGGTCACGGCTGCGCCACGCCAGCACCACCAAAGGCGGGGCGAGCCACGCACAGAGGGAACGTGGAATTCAGAAGCTGTTACTTGCAGAAGATTTCGACTCTGACATAACCCCGTTTGTGATTCGGTAGAGAATAAAAAAGTTCTAATTTTCGCCAGGGTGTTTGGCCACAGTGAATGGGTCACTGTTAGCCGGTAAAAACCTTGACCCTGGGACAGAGAGGTGCTACGTTCGCTCACCTCCCCCCTGGGTTTGGCCGCCACGTGATCTGACACACGGACCGCCCCGTCGTCAAACCTGCCTCCAGCCACACGGAAGGCTGTGAGGGCCCCGCAGAGGTGGAGCCCCCGCGGGAGCCCAGACGCCCAGGACGCCCCAGCAGGCCCTCCGGGGCCCGGGAGGCTTCCGGGCTGTTAACTGCTCAGAAAGGGCGCTGTGTCTGGCCCTCACCCAACTCCCTCCTCACAAGCTCTGAAACCTATTTTCATGTCTAGACTAAAAGTAATAAAGGATCATAACTAATGGCTTTAGATTTATTTTTCAGGGCAACGGCCACAACTTTCTGAATGGCGTAAGAAGTAGGAAAATTTGCTCGGAACTCTTGGCCAGCTCTGGATCCCAGAAGTCCCTGGAGAGCAGCCCAGGGTGAAGCCGGGTCTCAGGGTCGCTCACTCTGACGCCCTAAGAGCTCACCTGGGCTGTCCAGCAACCGGCGCCCAAGACCCGGGGCCTCTGCACTCGCCCCTTTGTGCCGCGCCCCTCCCCTGGTCGCTGCCCCCCCCGCCCCCGGCAGGTGACGGAGCCCCTTGAGGAGCCCCAGGCTCGCTCCCTCCTCGGCCTGCCCTGCGGGAGGCCTGAGCAGTCCAGGCCCCGAAGAGGCCGCGGCACCACCCGGACCAGGCGGCCACCGCATCTGCATACTCCTGTCAGCGATGTTCCTCAGGGTCCCTACACGACACACTTAATGGTGGCCTTTAATCAAGGATCTTGGCCATAAAATCATAACTGATGCGGTGGCATCGGAAAAACAACGCCGTTCGCTTTCTCGCCGCCGTTTCCCGGCCGTAAGAAATCAAACTAATGGGCTGTAACGCCTTCGCTGGGATCGTGTGAGGTTCCTCTGGCAGCAACCCGCTCCTCCTTTCTTTCTCCTTTCTCGCAGTCCCTCTGCTCCTCCTGCTCGGAGCTCGAGGCTGTGGGGTCTCCCGGGCCGCTGGGGGCTTGCAAAGGCCTCCCGTCAGGACTCCTTGAGGCCGTGGGGAGACCAGGGGAGAGGGGAAGATGCCACTTCCGGGGCCGGTGACGGTGCCGCAGGGGACAAGCGGCTGTGCGCCCGGGGGGAAGGCAGCTCTGCTCCAGGGCCTCCTCCTCCGGTGGTGTGGGCAGTGCCCGTGTCTCTGCCCCGTCCCTCGGCTCCCCTCTGTTCCCCGAGGGCGGTGGCCCTGACTCCCGGGGGCTGGCGCTCAGCTCAGCAGCGTGACTGACTAAGTGGCTGTTGTGGGTGAGGCCCGGGGACAGGGACAGAGGCCCGGGGGATCTCTGTGTGTTGTGGGGGGCCCCTGACGTCTGCACGCGCACCAGGCAGGCGTCTCTCCCGACCTTCCCACTCCCACCTCCTGGCGCTTGGATGGGGTGGGGCTCAGGGCGGGAGGGGGACGGAGGGCAGGCCCGGCTGCCAGTGGCACACGTGAGCGGGAGACAGCAGCTTTGTTGAAACTGAGTGATGAAGGTGGGCGACTTCCCTCCTGGTGGGTCAGGGAACCCCCCGCCCCACGGGATGCAGAATGTCGGTGGCAGGGAGGGCCAGGCACTGCTGGGTCGGAGGGGCCACGCAGAAACGGCCAGGGAAGGTTGTCCGGGCCTCGCTCAGGGGCCAGCATCCAGCCTGGGGAGGGGGGACGGTGGTGGGCGAGGTGAGACGGGCTGACGACGAAGGTGGGGGTGTCTGCGGGAGGAGGGCCCTGAGTAGGGAGCTGACAGCAAGTGCTTGTTGACTGAAGGCTTCTGAGTGAAGCTGTCGTTGGACAAGCCTGGCTGGCGGTCTGTGACGTGCTGGCAAGGTCTGAGGGGGTCCTGGCACGCGGGGAGACAGGCTGGATGGCAGGGGGGCCGATGGGGGATCCGCGCAGGAGTCAGGCCAGATGGCTGGCGAGCCAGAGACACGTGGGCTTCCAGAGGTGAGGGGATACGGGGACTGGCTCCCAGTGCAGCCCGACACCCTTCGGGCTGGCCCAGTTCAGGTGCGGGAGGCCCAGGCAGAGTCAGCTCCTCCCAGTGGGGGGCAGCAGACATGAGGCACAGCAGGCGAGACCACGAGGCAGGGTGAGGGGTAGGAGGGGACCCAGAGGGGCTGGCGTTGTGGGACAGGTGGGAATGAAGGGACGTCCCAGGTTGCCGTGGTTTTGAAAACCTCTTCTGCAACATTCAGGGAGAGGCCAGAGACTGCAGTCCTTGGCTGAAATTCGAGAAGAAACTGGCTTTAGGCGGTCGAGAGCCGCAAGCAGTGGGACTCTGGCCGACGCGTCCCAAGTGCGCGGTAGGCGGGGCGCTATCTCATGGAATATTCACGAGCCGGCTCCCTCAACTCCAGCTCGCTTAGAACTTCTCAGTCAAGTTTCCAAGGACGTGAACGATGCACAGATAACACTCGGCTTTCTGCAGGAGTCCGACTTTGTGAGTGGCCAGGTAGGGGTGACGAGGCTGCCGGCTCCCGGGAGACGGATGGGGGTAGGGCGGAGGCGGGAGGTACCGGCCTCTCCGTCTGGCGTGGCCTCCGGTGAAATGCCAGTCTTCGCCCCTCACGCAGCCAAGGCCCGCGCGGAGGACAAGATGATGCTCCTCCTCAGGGCCCAGCGCAACGTCTGGGTGGGAGCCCGGCCTGGGGCACGTCCAGGCGCGTCTCAGACATGCAGCACGAAGCCCGCGCTCGCCCAGGGAAGCGGCCACAACCCCACGGCCTGAACCCGCCGGGGCTTCCACCGGCACACGCGGTTTTCGAGACCCTGCCAGGGGGGACCTGCTGTGGACGACGGAGACCTTCTGACAAAAGGTCTCAAAGGTCCCCTGGCGACTCAGGACTTCAGTCCGTCAGGCTTCACTTCCACCAGGCCTCAGGAGCCAGGTGTGGCGGCTTCAAACGTTTCTCCTCCTGGTGGCCGGCCACGCGTGTGAGCTCATGCCCTTGGAACACGGGCGGGGCCGCACAGCGTGACCACGGGACCCAGACGCACTCAGGACAAGACCCCGAGGAAGGCACCAGGGGGCACAGGGAGACCAGTCGGGAGGGCTCTACGGGAGCCAGCGCAGGGCCGGGGGGATGCTGGCCTGGGTGGCGAGGCTGCACGGGGTGGGGGATGGGGGCACACGGTCTGCAGGCGCCCAGGGCTGGGGTGCAGGGGTGAGGGGCAAAGAGAAGTCACAGGGGCGCCTGGATCCACCCCGGTGCCCTCGACTGAGGCGGACGGCGGTGGGGATGGCTGGGGTGGAGACCAGCTTCCATGTCCGCGGTGTTTCTACGGTCACTTCCTCCAGGGCTGTGCTCCCGAAGCCCCAAACGCCGCCCACACTTAGAAAACCCTGTTGAATGAAGGAACCTCCACGTCCTGGGAAGGAGCAGGAGACCTCCCCGTTCATCTCACGGGGACGTCGGGGGACACCGCGGGGGCAGGAAGGGCGTGCCCTCCGGGCAAATGACGGCCTGGCCGGTTCAGCTGGCTGCTTGTTTTCGTGGGGCTTGCCAACTCAAAATACTTTCCGTACATTTTAAGCAGTTGGAAAAGAAATTGAAAAAAACAATAATGCTTTGTGATGTGACTATTTTCTGAAATTTGAATTCCAGTTGGTAAGTTTTTTAAAAATCAAAAGAAATGTTAATTAATTTTCTTTTTTGACAGAGAAACCGCACACGTGTGCGGGAGGGGCAGCTGGGGAGAGAAGGGGAATCCCAAGCGGGCTCCACACTCAGCACAGAGCCCGATGCAGGGCCGGATCCCACGACCCTGGGATCGTGACCGGAGTCAAAATCGGGCGTCAGACACCCAACAGACTGAGCCACCCAGGCGCCCCCGCAAATGGTTTTATTAGAAAGTGGCCGGGCTCGCTTGTCCACGTGACACCTCAGGCTACTTCTGTGCCACCTGCCACGCTGGAGATGGACACTCTCTGGTCTGGGGCAGAGAACATCTGCCGGCCCCTGACCCTGGCGGCGGGGGGCGGGGGGCGGTGCGCGGCGGCCAGGCCCCCCGCACCCCCGGCTGGTGGGTCAGGTGCGCTTACAGGAGCCGCGCGGGCTCCCGGAGAAGAGGCAGTGACGGAAACACAGCTCCGCGCGGGTCCGTTCCTCTCAGCTTTCCCTGTCACCTCGTGTTCTTCCACCATAGGTTTACACAGAAACACTCACTTAGATTCACTCGCTTAGACCCAGGTTTTGAAGGACTCCTGTGGGGCCAGACCGGGAACTTAGTCACTACGTACAACGTTAATTCTACTGAAGGCCACGATCTGGTCCACGACAAACACCCTGCAAGGGACACTCAGAACATGCCTTGCTGGTGAGTTACCAGAACCTGTGTTCATGCCGAGCGCCAACCCCGCGCCTTCTGGGCACAACCCAGATGCACACATCTGCGATGTTGTTTCTGTTGAGATGGACCGCTTAAGCCGGTTATTTCTGAGCCCCGTTCTTGGTGGTGGGTGGGTGTGTTCGGCAAACAGATCCCTTTCTGGCTCCTGTCGACCTGGGGGGCACAGTGGCCACGTCTGGGCCCCAACGGGAAGCCACGTGGACTTGACCCGACTCTTGTTCTAGCAGAGGAGCGGACTCGTGTGGTCAACACAGGAACCACAGCCCTGCCCCTTTCGGATCATGGCGGAAAGTCAGAAATGCCACGGTCATCACGCGACGCGGACAGTGCAAGTGCGAGGGCGCTGGGCTCGCCACGGAAATAAGCCGATGACTCAGAACAAACCGCCGACGAGAGCAGTCCCGGCCCCACGTGAGGGGCCGGCGAGGGTCAGACAGGAAATCACAGATGCACATGCTGATGCCAGAAGGCAGGAAACCCGGCAAGTGCACGGGCTATTTCTATCCTCAGCTCCAGAAACGAAAACTAACTCGGTAAAGCTCAAGAAAAGAGAGAGGGGAATAAAGATACGAAGTTACCGGAATGAAACAGTAAGATACAATAATGAAAAAAAGCAACAAAGCCCAAATTGGGACTTGAAAACAGTGAAGAAATTAACAAACGTGTTGTAGGGTTTTCCGGGATCAACCCTACAGGCAAAAGTAAACAAGCAGCAGTAGGAGTAAAAGGGGACGCTCCCGCGGACACAGCAGGGGCTACAATGTCAAGAGAGCACTCTGCAGACGTTCACGGAGACGAGAACACGTGCCTGAAACGGACATCTCAGGAAAACACGATGCGCGAAGGCAACAAGCGAAGAAACAGCGCGAATGCTCGTGCTGCAGTTGGAGACCGGGACGCGGAGTAGAGCCCGCCTCTGACGGAGGAGGCGTAATTCAGCTACTGTGGACCGACGAAAGGGGCAGGAGGAGAGCGGCGCGCACAGGGGGCAGAAAGCAGCGGGCAGGAGCCACCCCGCGAGGATGCGAGCCATAGGACACGGGTCACACGTAATCTGGAGCCCGTACGAGGCGCCGTGAGCGCTTTGGGGGTTTGCGGACAGTAAAAGAGCCAGGACACGGGTGGACGGGCTCTGGGGCTGCAGCTCTGTCTGTGATTCCTTAAGTCGGGAGTGAAACGCGCGTGGTGGGGTGTTATGTTAATGTCCCCAAGTTTTTACGTGTAAAGCGTTTCTCAACATGAAATAAAGCTCCAGCCAAGGCCTGGGAAGCCATCCTGGGCATGGCAGCAGGGGCGGGAGAGGCCCGCCAAGCAGGTGCGGCCCTTGCTGCCAGCGCCCCGAAGACTGACAGTCGCACGGGAGGAACGAGGCGGATGCCCACGACCCCGTGAGGAGGGAAGACCTCTGGGGGGGGGGGGGGGGGGGGGGGGACCGTCACTCTGCCTGGTAGAGGTGTGGAGGCCCCTGCTCTGCCCTGGCCGCGACAGACAAGATGTCTCCCGGGGTGAAATCAGCGAGGGGACGGCGAATGGGCCGTGGCGCTGGGCGTGGCGACAGACGGAAGGTTCTGGCAGCCTCCCCACACAACGAGCCCAGAACGGCCCGTCGGCCATCGTTAGAGCATGGCGAAGGTGACGGAAACTTCCGGCTGCCCAGCACACGCTGCTCACCCCCACACCCTGGCTGACCCTTCTTCTCCGGCCGAGACGGTCCTGGTGTCCGCCATCTGGAGAGCACCGGGAGCGAGACCTGGTGCCGCGGGGGTGGGTGGGGGCAGACAGGAGGGCCAAGGCGCCGCACTCACCGATGAGGGAGTTGAGGGCGGAGTAGGAGCTGACTCGGCGCATCTTGTCGATGGTCTCGAAGGACAGGATGTACTCCTCGTTCTCGGGGCTGCCCAGGGTGCTGCTGGCGCTGCTGCTGGTGCTCAAGTTTCCGGGGGAGAAAGCCACCGAGCTGCCCGCTGGCCACGGAGGGCGGTGGGGGGGGGGCGGTCAGCTGGGGCTCCCGGGACATGCGCCGCCTACGCGGCCCCACCGGTCTCCTCTAGCCGCGCCCGCGCCCCCGGCGAGACCCGGGCTCCTGGCGGCCAGGGGCACGTGGGCCGCAGGGACACCCGTGCCAGGCTGCCTGCGGGTGTGCGGGCCCCGCTGGCCAGCCAGCCGATGGCACAGCGGGCGCGGGTTCACGGCAGAGAGAGGGACGGGGCGCCCGCGCACGGGAAGTTTCAGAAAACCAAACCCACCCCCGCCCCGGCCCAGGGGCCCAATTCCAGCATCTTACACTCTTCTGTCAAGCTCAGGTTCTGCAGAGATTTGTTCAAGCTTCTGGCGGTGGTGACGGCGCGAATGTTTCCGTAGGAGCTCACGGAGCGGAGTCTGGGGGTGCACGGGCTGTCCCGCACCGGGGTCAAGCTCCCCCCCTCTGGGAGAAAGAAGAAGAAGAAGGAGTCAGTGGTGGGCCTCAGGGCACATCGCGCCCCCTTGGCCAGTGGCCACAGCAGCAGGTGACAGGAGCTACCGCCACTCAGTGAGGGCCTCTGACACACGTGTCAGGGTCGGCTGGACGCCGGGTGGGGAGGGGAGGCACGACCAGGACCGACACCAGACATCCAGGGCACCACTGGCCACGGGGCCGCCCTGAGGGCAGCAGCAGGCGCCCTGTGGCTCAGCCGCGGGCCGCTGCCCTACAGGTGACGACAGGGTGGCGGCCAGTCGCCCTGCAGGCCCCCCCCCCCCCCGCCTCTGGGCCCTCCTCCAGTGCACCAGCTGTTTCCACTGAGCAAGTTCATTTTCATTTCCCTTCCCTGATGTTCTAAAAGCAGTAACGCTTCTGTTATTGATCACGAGCCTCTTTCCTGCAGAAAAGGCTGCGTTTGTGGCGGGGGGCGGGGGGGGGGGGGCGGGGAGGGCAGCCCGATATGATGAAATATAAATCCAGCAAAAAGGACAAATGGGAGAACAGGAGCTGCCTAACGTGACTCACGGAACAGGGAACCAACAGCTCATCACGGGAGGAGGTGACGTGCTTTTCCATGAGCGCCCCCCCCCCCGCACGCGTTTTGCTATCCTTCGAGATTCCCATGAATTTGATTCCCAAAAACGGTAGGGAAAAAGAAGAGTCAGAGGGTCAGTGTGGCCCCTCCTGCCGCCCTTTCTATTCTGCTAAGTGGCTGGGATGGCGGGAGTCATGGGGCCCTGCCCTGGGGTCCCCGGCCAGCAGCTCAGGCATTATGCCGCCGTACCTGTGGTCGCTGGAGAGGGCAACGGGTAATTCTTCTCCTCCTCCATGAACTGCAAGGCCACGGTGCAGAAATTGCTTTCGTACTGGACGACAAGATGACTCAGAGCCACCACCAGTTCCTGCCGAGAGGGACAAGGACGACAACGCTTACCGGTGGCGGCAGAGGACTGCGGAACGGCAGTGAGGCTGAAAGTTCACGCCGAGCGCTCAAGCCACCAGAGAAAAAAGAAAGGTTGAAACACTTTGCACTCAGCGTTGGCAGGAGGGACTGGCCCTTCGGGGGTGCGCTCGCGAGTGTCCAAGGGGAGCAGGAGCCCCGGACAGGCAGTGTGGGCGGGATCTCGAGACGTGAACGTGGGCACGGACACAGGCGTGAATGACACCCTCCAGGGGCAAGGCGGACGGGTCACGGGAGCCGGGCCGAGGTACGTGTTGATTGGACCCTGCCGCTGGGTGAGCCATCTGAATTCCGGGCACGTTAAAGCAGAGCACGTCCGACAGGCCGGAGCACGCCTCTTACTAGACGCAAAACGTGCAAAGAAAAATTAGTGTCCCGTCCCTGAAAGGCAGGGAAATTCTCCAGGATCCTTAGGCCCAACTGTTTGAGGAAAGGAGCACAGGGGCCTCTGCTGCGTGAGCTCCTGGGGGCCCCCAGCTCGCAGGGAATGCCTGTGGCCCCAGGCTGCGGGCCTTCCGCACAGGTGCCCAGCTCCACACGGCCCGGGACCCTTAGCGGCTGCCCCCTGTTCTCTCCTGCGCTCCCTCTCCTGCCTGGACCCCACAAAGTCCTTCGCCTCCTCCTGTCATGTTTGTGCACTGCTCCCAAACCCACACCCGTGTCCCCTCCACCCCCTTCAAGCTCCCGGCCGGCCTTCCCAGTGCTGGCCAAGCGTCTCGGCCTGAGTGCTCCCGCGACCCCGAACTCGGCAGCCCACGGTGTGCTGGCTCCACCCTTCTTAGTCGGCTCCCGCTAGGGACTCCTCGGTTCACGCCCACGGCACTACGGACCCCTGACCCACCTCCCACCCGATTCGCCCGAGTCGGACTGCACTGAGCCCCCCACAAGCCTGCTCATGCCCACTGCCCGACACCCCATCTGGCCCTTATCTGCGGTGCCTACATCCCTGCCACCCGCCCCCCACCCCGCAAACCGGAGCGCAGCCTCTGTGCAACGGAGAACAAGCCACGCAGGGGTCACCCGCCGGGCCCCTCCTGGCAAACACACGGCCTGTGCCTTCTGCGGAGAGACTCTCCCCTCCGCTCTGACGTCGGGTGAGAAAAGCTCACGGTGGGCCCTGTAGCAGGAGCTCGCAGCCAGGTCCCAGACCCTCTGACGCAGGGAAGGCCATCGAAGGCCAGACACCGAGCTGGCCGCCCCCGCCCGGTGGCTGTGGATCAAGTACGTCCTGCTGGGGCGGAGGACGCGTGAGGCGGCTGCTGCCGGCCACGGGCTCCTGGAGCGCGTCTGACCACAAAACACAAACATGCGGGCAGTTCTGGCCGGGCCGCGCAGCCCAGCTGTGCCCTAGACTTTTGGAAGCAGTTCCCCACATGCACGCCCGCACGCGGAGATCAGCGCCCCAGCCCCTCCGGCCAGCGGCGTCGGTCCGCCCCACCTTCCTCCCGACCTCCAGCCTTCTGGTCACATGCGCAGCGAAACGAGGCCTTGCCCACCTGGCTCTCCGCCCCGCCATCTAGCACGGACCCTTGAGGGAGCCAGCACTCCCGCGCCGGGCCGGCGCACTCGACACCGTCCCCGAGCGTCCCCAGTTCACCCCGCGATCCCTTCAGGCCTCCCGCTCGGATGCCTCTCTGGGCACCCCACCTTCACTCGGGGCTCGCCTCCAGGCCCACCCACCTTCACCCCGCTTCACCTCCCTCAGGGCACGACCGCCACCTGCTAGGTCACACCCGCGTCTGTCCAGCCTCCAGCCCACCCGCCTTCAAAGTGCAGGCTGTTCAGGCGGGTTCAGTTCTGTGCTCGATCGTCGAGGCCCGGGGACCCAGGGCGCAGCAGGTGCTTAACGAGTACCGACTAAACGAAGCCTTTCCCTTCAGACACGTTACCATCTCCATCACGCGGCTCACCTCACGAAGGGCTCGGGGACATCGTGCCCGGGCTCCTGCACTGTCCCAAGGGGAACCCGCTAACGCTCTCCCTCGGTTGCGCGGGAGGTCAGACTGCGCGTCTTCCTGGCATCCCCCCGCGGCCCCCGTGTGCTCTGGCGGCCACCTCCTTGTTTCCTCCCCTGAGGACTGCCCCCCACTGCGTGCGTCCAGTGGCACATTACAGGCCGACACCGGTGGCCTGGAGATTCGCGTGCGGCCCCATAACCGTGGCGAGACGGCAGTGTCCGTGGGAGCGCGTCTGCTCCGACGTGACCACCCTCAGGCCCTCCCGGGCAGCTCGGCCCCACCAAGTCCACCAGGGACCTGACGGCCTCTGATGCTTTTCTCACTGCCGCTGAGTCAGACACGCCGGGAAGGCAAGTGGACATCACACTGCTCCTCCATGGTCCGCGGTCACCACGTACAAATAAACGAGACTCACAGCCGTGGAGGTGGATGGTGGCGGGGGAGCTGGGGGTGAGGATGTGGCTGGGTGGTGACCCACCCCCGCCCCTCGCCTGGCCCTTCTGGGGGGAGGGGGCGGCTGGCTTCCGGGGGGCTGGGCACCCTGGATTTGATACTTCATGGACAAGTTCACGTCCACAGAGGTTTGGGAGGCCGATGTGAATCTACCGACTCTGATGCTATCAAGTGAGCTCACTGAGTAAGTCACCCTCTGCCCTCGCATCGCCTCAGGAAAGGGCACTGTCACCATACAAAGTAAATGCACGTGGTCTTTTCCATACCGAATACGTGTGACTTTATGAAAATCCCAGCATACGTCCCCATTTCTCTCCTCTGCCCCAAACAGGGGCACGACGGCAGCTGGTTGCACTTATCATCGGCGCCTCGGCTGCGGGTCAGAGCCGGCGACTCCGACCGGAGCGGCAAGGGGCAGGTGAGCTCGCGGAGCTCGATGCCCAAGCCCAAGCCGTGCTCCGGACCCTCGGGGCTCTGGAGCTGGGTCTCCCAGACCAGCAGGCTGGGCCCGAGCTCCCGACGGTCCTGCCACATGGCTCTGGACGAGGAGGAGACGAGTGCCAGCGGCGTCAGGGTTCTGCCGACGCTGCAGGGTCCGGTCTCTGAGCAGGCAGCACCTCTCCGCGTGGCTTTCCCCGCCCACCCCGCTCAGGCCGCGTCCTCTCTGCCGCTGCTGCCTTCCTCCCCAAGCCTCTGTGCCCCACGTTCCCACGCAGACACGGCCTCACTGTCTCGGGGTCGAGCGCAGCCACCCCAGACCTCCCCCAGCACCCAAGCACTTGCGGGAAGAATGAGGAACTCAGCAGAGAACTCAGCAGGTGCGCTCCCGACACGCAGGGCCCGGCGCCGAGCCACCGTCCTCCCCTCCCCCTCCCTGCCCCTCCTGCTTTCTGCTCCAGCCATCCGAACGGCGGGCAGCCCCTGGGCATACCATGGTCCTCACACCCCTGGGCCTTTGCACACACTCCGCCCGCCCTACCTGCTCTGCTTGCCCCTCACCTCCCTGGCTCCTGGCTGCTCAGCCCTCCTAACCCAGGGGTGAGCTCCCACCTCCGGAAGCCTTCCTGACTCCTCTTCCCCGACGAGGCAGGGCAGGCATCACGCTGACGCGCTCCAGAGAGAGCTCCGGGCCCCCCTCTGCGGCCCTGCTCATCAATGAGGGCTCTAGAATGACGGCTGCTTCCCACGTCTGCCCCTTGGAGGCAGGCTCGTCTCCCGCTCTGTGCTCCGAGGCCTCGGACGCACAGCCTGCATGCTGAGCCCAGGACGGAGGAGCAAGTCCCCTGCCTCCAGATGAGGCACTCCTTAGCGGGGTGGGCTCTGATGTGCAGCCGCGCCCCTGGGACGCAGCCACAGCGGGGAGCCCCCCAGGCAAGGCGGTCAGCAAGGCACCTTCAGGAGAGACGTGGCTACACCTGGGCATTCTCGTATCCAGAAAAAAGGGACACTGAGTGGACTTGAGGCAGGAACGGGACCCCAGGGCCCACACTGGGGCCGTGCTCGAGAACAACGCAGTCCCAGGTGTGTGCTGGCCAGTCTCCAGATACTGGAAGCTCACGGGGACGTTGTTTTAATTTTTATTAACGTTCCTTTTCACATTTCAGATTTCTGGAAAGAAGAAAGCAAGCTTTCCTTCTTTAGGAGGGATCTCAGTGGACAATGAAAGAAACCACTAATTTGCTACTCTGATCAGCGGTGTCCAAGGGGAGGCAATCTGCTGCAGGAGCAAGGAGGCTGGCAGGGCTGCGGGAAGCGTGCCTCCGATTGAGAGAGCGCGGACAGCGAAACAGGGCCCGCCGCCAGGGTCTCAGGGAGCCCGTCCTTCCGTGTCTCCAGTCTGGCGGAAGTAAGCTTGCCCAGACTGCGTCCCTCCCGAGAAAATCAGGGGGTCCACGTGAGCAGACAGCCCCAAGCCACACCCTGTCCTGAAAGGCGCCCGGCCTCCCTCCTGCCGTTCCGCGACCTCAGCCACACCGGGTGCCGGGTGGACACACGATGCCCGGGAAGACCGCCCGTGCCGAGGGGACAGTCTTCTCCAGGCCACCAGCCGCCGTGCGGGTACCCGGTGGCGCCTCCGCCGGCGGGGAGTGGGGGGGGACCTCGGGCTGTGCCGGGCCAGCTTCCGACAGAGGCGCGAGGTCTCCGGAGGAAACCCGAGGCATTCGCGCACGTGCGCAGACCAGTCAGAGCCGCCCCGTCGCGAACGTGTTCCGTTCCACCGCTGACAAACACGGGGGCGGGGAGGGGGACACACTCCACAAACCTTTCCGTCTGTCTGTGGGTGTCTACTGCTCTTTTAGTCGCCATGATGTGTGTATGTGATGCTCCCAGGCAGGAAGGAGCCTATTTTACAAGCTGCCAGGAGGCGCAGCCTGTTAAATGCCTTTAAATGAAGCAAACACACGAGTATCTGGTGAAGAAACGCATTTTGCAGAGAATTAAACAAGCATTTAAAGGTCCGCTCTCTAAAGGACGTGCGCCCCTGGGGACGGAGGGCCCACAGCTGCGGCCGAGGCCACGGGCTCCGATCCCTGAGCGCCGCGGGACGCTGGTCGCGAGGCGCTTTGCCGCTGCCTGCGGACCCGGGGGCCACGCACCTTGCGGACCACGGGGCTCCCGTCGTTGATCAGCTGGGCCAGCATCATGGCCACGTTGTGGTCGATGGTGGTCGAGTGGTCGGTCCTCTCCGCCGAGTTGCCCACAAACGTGCCGAGAGCGAAGACCGCCGCGCAGCGCACCTGCGGGCCGGGCCGGGTCACGGTCACGCCACAGAGGGCGGCTGCGGTCTGACCCCCACCCGGCCCCTTCCTTCACGTGCGGCGCCCGGCGGGAAGCCGGCACCCTGGCCTCGGCTGGCCTGGGCACGGGCCGCGGCGGGCTCACCTCAGGGATGGGGTCGGAGAGGAGGCTGTAGAGCTTCTCGTGCGCGCTGTCCCTCACGCCGCACCACCTGGCCGAGTCAAAGTTCTGCCAGATGCGCCCCAGGCAGATGGCCACCCACTGGCGCAGCAGCGGGTGGGGGTCGTTGAGCTGCTCCAGGCAGATGGCGATCAGATTTCCCTGCAAGCAGGCTTCCTGCGAGAAGGCACACGACCCGTGTTCACCCGCGGCCCAGGGCAGGGGGAGGGGCCGGCCGCGGCCACAGGCCCGTTCCCTGGGGAAACTCTCACACCGCCACATTTGCCCAGGTTTCCTCGCTCCAAACCCACCACCTTCAACGTGCCCTGCGGACGGCCGGCTGGGGAAAGGAAGGGCCCCGTGTCCCGTGGTGCCCCCTTCTGGGGGGACCGGTTCAGCAGCCGCTCAGACCAGCATCCCCCTCCCAAACAGGGCAGCTCCGGGGGCTGCGACACTTACCTGTCCTGTGTTGTAACTGTTCACGATCACAGCCAGGATGAAAGCCGTCATGGTCCGATGCTCAGCCTGGAAAACACAGGTTGGCCTGGGTTTGCGTGTCCCCGTGGCGCAGCAGGGCTCTCTCTGTCCTGAACCTTAGTGACAAGCTTGGTGCTCCAGGTCAAGACCCAGTGCTGCTGACTTCTGACCAGAGTCCACGGGACAGAAAACCCCGCAAGAGGGTCTGAGGGCTCAGGGCTGGCCGCTTAGCATGGCTGTTCCCCAACAGGGGCAGGACGGGGCGGGATGGGCCCGCTGGGACCCCGACAGGGGCAGGACGGGGCAGGACGGGCCCGCTGGGACCCTCTGCGCACAAGCCTGTCCCGCTCACCCTGTACCCCGTCCGAGCCTGTGGAGGCGCGATGCCCACCACCGCCCAGTGCGCTGGCAGAAAACGCGCGACTCCAGCACCCTGACTCGGTTCCCGGCTTCCTTCTTTCTGTCGCGTGGGTCTGTCCTCATCCTTCCCTTGTGCCTCTGCTAGCTGGGGAACCAGTCTGCTGTCCGTAACAGAGTCGTGGTGCCTGGTGTTGTTAACGTGCACCTGGGGCAGAGTCTGAGGTCGATCTTTCTCGCTCTTGCCCTTGGATCAGTCAAGGCTGCCGATTCCAACCTTCCTCCTCCGGTCTTAACCCCTCGAACTCATGACTACGGCCTGTGTTCACGGCCGGTGCTTATGTAGATGGCCGCACGCTAGCCCATTCCTTAGCCCTGTGCTGTGTTCTGCGCCCCCGTGGGCTCGGTCTCTTCCTGAAGCACGGGCTCCATAAGCCCTTCACTGGGCGTCCGAATGCGACCAATTGTGCGTCTGTGACCACGGGCTGGCTTCACCGAGTCCCGGATGGTGCATGAGGTGGTGGGGGGTTCCGGGGTGACAGTCGCTTTCCTCCAGCGTCCGTGTCTGTCAGTCCTCCTCGTGGTACTCTCAGCTCCTGTGCAAAGCCCTCTTCTCGTTCTGCTTACTTTTAAGATTTTCCCCTTTTGCCTTTGATATTTTCTACCTCTGTTAGGTTGGGCCTTTGTGTGGATTTGTTTTTATTTAGTCTTCTCAAGACTCACAGTGCTTTCACTGAGAAGTCATTCCTTTCTTCAAACTGGGAAAATTCTCAGCCGTGATCTGTTCACGTCCTGCTTCTCTCCATGTCCCGAGTGCACACTCTGGCCTCAGGGTGGCAGCAGTGAG